AAATTCCCCCCCCGCCAGGGGCCCTCTGGACGCCCCCCCTTTTATTTTTTTTTTAGTATGGCAATCGGCTGTTCTCGTTTCGTCTAGAGCCAATCCCAAGACCTATAGATTATACGCAATTTGTGGTAACCATAGCTACGTTGGTCTTATCTTATTTATAATAGATATGTATAAAATTGGTACGAATAGGATAAACCGTGTATAACGAGGTCGGATCGGACCTTGTCGCAAAAACCTGGACCAAACCCAGGACCTACCAGACAAGGGACAGGTCAAAAGTACCCATAACTCATGAGTCTGGTGAATGTCATGAAAGCGGATGAAGCGAGGTCAGGACAGTGCAAGCAACCAATGTTAACAGATTTTTAATTTATTATTGCTTAATATAAATAAAAATAAAAATACTGAAACCACCAAAAAATCCCTAAGGGGTTAAACCTTGGTGCCTGAAGAGCCACAGCACAAATTTTAAATTCCTTATAAACAGAGTTAAAAAAAATACAATAATACCAAAAGCGAAACAAAAATATTTCCACAAACAGACGCAAATAAAAACGTTTTTATATCTTAAACATAATATTGCTACATTACAACTACATTGGCTCCTTCATTTAACTAACAACCTACCATTAATAAAGCTTACGCCAACATAATAAAAAAATCCTGAATGTTCGATAAGTCGTATTCACACAGGATTTCGTGTATTTTGACAAGATTTTTCGTGAACTCTTGAACAATAATTTGTATGTTACAGTCAATTTTCATAAAATATACTTCTATTCTATTTTGTATTCAGTAATCGCACCTTCTATTTGTTGAACTAGATTCACAGTAGATGTTAAGTTTCTCGCATCCATACAGACACTCGCGGCCGGAGGTCGACACTATTTGATAACATTTGTCAGCAACAAATATTTTTAATAATATTTTCTCTCTGTTATACTCCTTAATATTGGCAATGGGCGGGGCATATAGAAAGATACACCGATAATAGGTGGACCTTAAAGACAACTGTATGGAAAGGACCAAGATGAAGAAGGAGGAGAGGTCGCCCAAAACGAATGGAGAAAGAGAGCCAGAGTCAGTTGGAAAAACCTGGGGGAGGCCTTTACCCGTGAAGGGGTTCGACGGTACTGAAGGTAGCTAAGCGAATAACAAGCAAAAAAAATGTAATTTTTTTTTAAATAATCTAAGCTGTGTATTATTATAATTTGTTTTTGTCATGATTGGAAATAAAACGGGCTTTATTATTATTATTATACTCCTTAATAAGCTATTATTATTATAATTCAAAATTTCATCAGCATCACCTTGATGGCTGGAAGTCTTCCCCTTTCCGCTTCACAAGACGCTTTCTTTTGCGAACTAGCGAACTGTGGAATCGACACCCGGTGTGGGTCTTCCCAGAGAGATACGACCTCCAATTGTTTAAAGAGTATACTCCTTCCTCAAAGGCTGGCAACGCAACCACTAGGTGTATATGACTGCCCTTTTTGGGCGTCCAGTAAGCTCGTTTGCCCACCTACACTTTAATAAAGAAACTATTGAAACGTACTAAAATAACTAAATATAAATAGGTAAATATGTTTGTAACAATTTGCATTGCTTTAAGATTAAAATTGACCGTTGATAAAGACGTGCTAAACACTATTTTAAGTCTAGAATAAAAGAAATCTAGAAAGTCGAGTGAAAGCTTCCATATAAGGGATTTTGATGATTTGAAGATTTAATATAAGGTTATCTTTGCATACCAACACGATCGCAGCAGACGTTTGAAGCGCCGGCGCATTTTAGATTTATATATCCATTTATTTCAAAAATACTTAAATAAATGAAAAATATGCTTCTAGTTTTAAATTTACAGCCAGTTCTCAAATCAGGGGCGTAGACAAGAAGAACTGGCAATAAACTCTCCGTCCTTGTTTATTTGGCAAAATATTGTAAACAGAATATTTATGGATGGAATATTTAATGTTCTATGAAGCTTTTCATTAAATTTTATAAACTATTTTTTTCACAACCGTTTCTTATTGTCTTTTTAATTTGAGACTGACCTTTGGTGATTTTCACAAAAGAAACATCAACTGACAATTTCAAGAGTGAAGAGAGTATCAGGCGAGTAAATAAGTGGTATATCATCACTTTCCTCTGCCGGTTTCCTCACGATGTTTTCCTTCAACCTACGAGCGAGTGTATAATGCGCACATAGACAATAGGTCCCACTGCACTGTTGAGGTTCGAACCTACAACCTCAGGGATGAGAGACGTATTATGAAGCCACTAGACCAACGCGGCTTTACTATTACGTATAAAGATAATTCGTTTTAAATAGCATTGACACATATTATGAATATTAGACATTTCGCATGTTTAATTTAAACCTGACAATCATAAGGTTTGGTGGTCTTCTAAATTAGGTTAGTAGTTACGTCAAACATATAAAAAAAAGCCTACTTTGCGTGTAACATTTCTGCAGCTAAAAAGTGATCACACAGAAGCCATCTTAATCACAGCTTTCTAACCAAGAAACGCACCAAAAACAGTCCGTTCGTTTAGAAGCTACGAGGCGACAGCACATTGGTGCGTGAGGTTAAATTATATCGAGCAAAACTGAAAATGCGCAGTGTCATTGAGAATATAGTTTAACCAGGCGCTTTAGCATCATTCGCAGTTAAAATCTGCTACCAATACAACCACCAACTCTGTGCCTTCCTAAAAATGTGATTAATTTGTATAATATTATACAGATATATTTAACAGAACATCATATTTGACTTAGTATTGTCTTTGATTAACATAACTTTTATTCAAAATAAAATAATAATGTAAATTTATAATAATACACTTCATTAAAATAATTTAAGGGTAGTAATAAATTTAATAAAAATTAAATCATATTTGACTGTTTTACAGGTGGTCAGTTTCACGGAAGATATCTTCTTCTTCTTCTTCTTGAAGTGCCTCTCCACTATTGGAGGTTGGCAGTCAGCTCGTCATACTCCTTCTTATTTTTGCCAAGCGCATCAGCTGTTCTACGCTGGCCACTCCCGTCCATTCTCTAATATTGCGGAGCCACGACTTCCTCCTTCTGCCAGCGCGTCTTTTCCCCTCGACCTTGCCCATCATGATTACTTGAAGAAGTCGGTAACGTTCGTGTCGAAACACATGTCCCAAATAACTTATCTTCTTCTTTTTAATGTTCAAAGTGAGTTCTCGTTTGGCGCGCCGTAGAACGGAAGATATAACACAATCAGTGATTTCAAAAGTTCGATTCGGACAACTAACCAACCAAAAAGCCTCTCCTTAAAACTGTGAACGCTTGTGCAGATTATAAATGATAATTCATTTTCTATATAAGTTATAAATACATATCTAATTAATGCTAATTATAGTAAGTAACATAGCACGTAGTGAACTATTATTATATTTAACACGCTGAATAAATAGAGTTGACATAGACATGTTTTTTAAAGCTGTAGATTTTCTTCGATAGTATTGTTATATAACTGAAACGTTATGCGAAAATTAACGCAAGTGAAAGGGCTAATTATATTACAAGTCTGAAACATGTTGCTTATTAGAAATTATGTTTATGTGCCTTTTTTCTAAAACACGTTTCAATGAAACAAAGCAATGTTACATCGAAATAAGCGTTGATTTGTAAACTAACAAAGCTATGAATACATGAAAAACAGAGTAACAGCCATACATTTCTTCTCTTTTCTAATCGCTCGCAAACTTTTCCTAGCCACGCTGGATTTAGTCAATATCCATTGACTAAAGATGAAGATGAAAAATGCACAGTTAACATTCGAAGTTCAAAATTTCCACAGACTAAACATTATTAAATGTCGACTTAGACGAATTAAAATTGTGTAATAAAAATGTGTATGAATCTTTTATTTTTTTAATTAAATTATGAAGCTGTTTATTACACGAGTGCTCTTTATAATGTAGATGACCTATAGAAGCTACTTAATGTTAGCTGTTAAAGTAATTAGATCATCAATTTCGGCTCCTTTGAACGGTCGTTTTCTGGCAATTACCGAAAATGTTAATGTAAACTAACTAAAGTAAGGCGGAGTCAATTAAAAATAACGACAATCCTTCAATGTCAGCCTCTGTATCGATTTCCTATTTGAGTTTTTTGTTGCATTATTAGTATATGATCCATTAAATCGTTTACTTCCTGTAATCTACGTGGGATTCGTCTTTAAATGTACTTATCTAACAATATACAAAATATAGTTAGGGAGCGTTCAAGTGTTACGTAACGTATTTGGGGGGGAGGGGTCCTTTTGTAAACCGTTACTGAGCGGGGCGGGGATTGAATTACGCGTTATTGTTAATATTATTTTCGCCTTTCCAGTACTTTACACCACATAATGGTAACTATTACGTATAAATCCCCCCATAAAACGTTACGGTGCGTTACATGGGGGAAATTGCGTGACGTAATACTCGAAAGCTCCCTTATGTACAATACAAAATGTCGTAAAAAGCGTACTAAAAATATAAACTCAAATCGTTAATCTTACGAAAGTGAAGGTGTGTATATCAATTTGTACTATCATTAGTAAATATTGTTTTTGATAAAAATAAAGTACTTATGATACTAAACCTAAAATAGTATAGCTAAACGATTGGGGCAGTAATTTCCGCCTCCGTTTGTTGGTTTAAGGCTAATATATCTCTAACGAAGCTGAAACGACTTGTATAGTCGAGAATCTCAAAACCGTACGCGATACCAAGCGGGGGCGGTCCTCAAATAAATAATAAATCGTCTGTTCCAAGCTGGAGTATCCAGATATAGATGTTTTAGTACGGACAGCGCTATCGATCTGTGAATATCGGAAAATTCTATAAGATTAGCCTTTGTTATCCTTCAAATTATAAAATAATTTACTATCCATTGATAAGACAAAGATAAAAACACTCGTGTGTAGATTAGTTATAAACGGTGAGCGAATAACAGTGCGTTTATAACGTTCGATGAGAAAATGTTTTTCGCTCTATGTGTGGCGGGTTTATTATCACTTGGTAAGTACATGTATTGTTCATTTATGTCCCAACATTATATTGAGATTAGACAATTCATTCAGGCTGCAAATAAAGAGGTATCTACTATTCTTTTGTTTTTTCTTCTGTCATTTGTTTTTACCGTATAAATAAACCAAAATGCACGCGTTCGCTTAATTCATTTTAATAGAGCTTGAATAGAAATCTTAAATTAGGCAAAATGGTTACGACATCACCTGTTGAAACAAAACGATTACATCACATTCCTGTTTTCATATGAATGAAATGAAATTGTGTCCGTTCACGCCCGACACTTGTACACAATGGAGTTCGGCTCATCTCATGCAACTACCGCTTAATAAATATTTATTTAATCTGTTGACAATCGTATTTACATTGTTATATCTACTTTGTGTCGACATGGCGGCGCGTGGGCAGCGTATGATCATCTCTTGTTTCGGATGTGGGTTAGTGTTACGGCAGATAAGACTATCATAATAATACAAATATTTGTACGGGTAATATCTACGACAGAGTTTTAACACCTTTTATTTAGTACTAGCGGACCCGGCGAACTTCGTTCCGCCTAACAATAATATCGTGTTAACTTTAAACTTAATTTAGGATTACATTAATAATACTTTTTTTGCAAATACACACATGTTTTGTCAAGCGATGGCACCACACGCTGTTTGCATTCGTAATATTAATTCATTCATTTATTTTAATTCGATAACTTTTCCGATATTTTATTACTTATTCTGCTATTCGGAGCGGAGAGAAATCCACCAAAAAGAGATAACTAACATCGGTCGGAGTTATAAGTGGTGTAATTAACACGACTTTGTTTTATATACAATTTAGATATTTTTTCCAAAACTACCATTCAAGATCAATCTATTACCATGCAGGCTGTATAGAGTAATAAGGTGGTGTGCGGGCACACAGGCGCTGATACAAAAGGGGAGGGGGGGCCCCCCCGGAAAAAAAAAAAACAACACAACAATATTCTTACGTACCCGTTTGAATAGTTTCATTTACGCTTTAGGTTTTATTTTACATTAACTACTCGAGAGCTTCAAGCGAATCAAAAAAAAAAAAAGAAAGGAGAGGAAAGCGGGGGGGGGTGTTTGTCTGGGGAAAGGCCGCTGGTGACCGGGGGCGGGGGGTTTTTGGGTGTGTTTATGTCTTATGATTTCAATAATATGGCCGACATACCTTGATAAAATCCAAAATGAACTATTTTTTATACTCGGTAACCAAATTCAACATTTTATTTTAAATTTATGTCGAATTAATAAATATTTTTCAATAATACTGGATTGTACTACTGACGTTTCACACGAAGAGCAAATTAGTATGATAATAAGATTTGTCAACTTTTAACATGTAAACTAGAAAGTTAAGAATAGAGGCATTTTCTAGCTTTCCAATTTAAATACACTTTCTGCTCAATCGTAGATACAACTGGCGCTGGAGTAACGTCATTTATAATAGAAAAACTAAACGAAATTAATTTGGACATAAAGAACTTATAGGGGGGGCAAGGCTATGATAATGGCTCAAATATGCGCGGTAAGAATATTGCGGGATGTACGGAGTAAATCTCCGCACTTTTTATGTCCGTGCGCCAGCCATAGTTTAAATTTAATAATAAATGACGCTGCACATCTCATACACGACTGCGTTTTTTAATATTGTGCAAGAACTATATAAATATTTTTCGTCCTCTATAAAAGATGGGATTTATTACAAAGATATGTCATAAATCTGACCTTAAAAACGGTTAGATAAAAATAACATCATAAATAAACTATGTAACAATTTAATTCACGTTTTATTTTTCACGGCAATTGAGGGACGTTTTACCTATTTAATGGATTAAACTAAAGAAAAATTTTCTTTCAGTCAAAATTAAAAAAATACATTGAAACTTGAAGATTCTTAAAAAATAGGCCGAAATATAGAAGGAGTTCCCTCAAAGGCCTGCACACACCCGCTAAAAATGTCTATGAGATTCAATGACTGCCATTTTTTCCGTCCCTAAGGCTCGTTTGACCCCTATAGAAAGAGGCCTTCATGGGTTTGACACAGGCGCTGGGTGGCGGCCCTTATACGTATAACACTTTTAGCGCTTTAGTCTGTGGAAGAGACGCAAAATTTATATTTTCTTTTGAAAGCTATAAATCGTCGTTTTTCTCGTGCAAAAAAATCAGTGGCGCTAAAACCTCTTTAGGTCTAGACCTCAGATTTATGAATCTGTTTCATGATCATTTTTCAATCTAATAAGCAAGTAAGTGATCAGCCTCCAGTGCACACACGCCGTCGAATTTCTGAGTCTTAACGCATCTTAAATGCACACATAGAAAGAAAGAACCTACGACCTCAGGGATGAGAGCCGCACACTGAAGCCACTAGGCCAACATTGCTCTTTCTCGTGCGCATACCAAAACGGATTCCCAATAATTATTCGTAAGAGCGATACATCGCTTGGTAGAATGGCGCGAAACTTGAGAAAATGACATATGATTGCAGTGCTTAGAAGTGCACAGCAAGGCGGTCATTACCATGAAGTATGTCGATCAGTTAAGCTCTCTACACATCTATGTATATTTTCAATTCATCATCATTCTTTAGGCCTTTATAAACTTTAATTTTCATAAGCTTATTCTGGCTATTAGTTAGGCTGGTGGTAACAAATCTACTTCAGGGAGGGTGCAGTCCAACTAGAGAGAGTAGACAAAGAGAGAGAGAACATGCAACACTCTTGTTGCATATGGCTGAGTTTAACTAGACTTTTATGATCTGTTTATTTAATTAAGGTTTTTAGTTATGATTGGTAAATTATTACCGAAACTGAGAATAATTCATCAAAGTGACCAAAACTATCGCATGTATTAAAAATAAAACCTTGTCATATTTGCTTAAGACTGTCTTCGTTAATGACGTCAATTATATGCAATTGAATTAAATCATAATTTACGTATTAGTTTTCCATTATCCGATGACATCTCAATGAAAATCCGTTGAATGTGTCGAAGGCTTTACCTAAAGGCTACTCTGCGATCTTCGCTACCATAATGTTAGAAGTTCAAGTCGTGTGTAGCTAATCTGCAGTTTATTACCTAGTATTCTAGATTATAATTGTTGATTAAGAGTTCCTTTCATTTTCGTTTAATAAACCAAATAATCAGCTCCCATTGTATGGTGTGTATTATAGTTATTAGGTACAGGTGGCTTTACCTAATAACTATATTGCTAGGTCTTTTTACGCGCTGTCAAAATGTCATATCAAAATTAAGAATGAAATTAGTTTTTCTAAATTTAAAAATACAGATTTTGTTTATTGATTTGGTTCTATATTTCAAATGCTATAAAAATATTCTGATTAAAAACTATTTTTAAACATTTTATCAGAAAATAATAAAGAAAACTTTATTGTTCTTGTTTATGACATCTAATGAACACGATATTAAATCGTGAACGTTAAGGAATTTAAATCCAATCTCTTATCGAATAATAAAACAATTATACATTAAATTTATTATTGTTCTATTTTCAGCCTGTAGGCGAAATGTAAATTATAATAAGTTATGCTCTTTATTAAATTTAACGCTCGTATTCGATAACGTACACAAAGCACAATCTATCTTCAGCGTCATCAACAATGACATACTACAGCTTCAGTGATCTAATCCCGTTCTCGAGGAATTCGATTTCCTGGGAAAAAGTCTACTTATTCGGATTTGAAGGAACAGAAATCTCATCTGCTTAGTTTAAAAGATGAGATTAAAGGTTTCGATTTCCCTTTAAACTATTATCATTCACCAACCTACCGATTAAAATATTATCAATTAGACACATATGCGTCAGTCCTTAAGGGTTACAGGAATTCTCCCAAAGGAGGGTTCAGATGTTAACAAAGCTATTTACTTCTGTTTAAGTGTCATCAGAAAGCTGCTTTTACCAGCGATGCTTAGCCTGTCATCCACAAGAAACAATATGGCCTGGAAATCCCCAAGAATGCGATCCATCCCACTGGGTAACAGCGGAATGGGTTCATAATCTGGGACATCCACCGCCAAGAACTGATTCCAGGATTAACGTGGAAATGCGTTGTCTCAAAATGGTAGCTACGCCTGACGATAAGACTTGTAAGTATTGACAAGATTTACCCAACTTACACTTTCTTAAACATTGCAGTAATATTTCGTCATAGTCGCAGAATAGTGACGGATCTGACAAATAGTAAACTTTACAGGGCATCACAATCCATTATCCGGATTTGATAGAAACATGTGATTTTTCGAGAAAACTGTGTAATTTAATGTTATTATTTTTATTTGTTTCAAAACAAATCCTTTTGTTGGCTTGTATGCCAATTTAATTCATACAGAATATGAATTAATATAATTATGACAAAAACTAACATAATTATATTATTTTGAAATGGCTGCCCTGTAAAGTTTACTATTTGTCAGATCCGTCACTATTCTGTAAAGTGACGGATTTGATAGGAACGTGATTTTTCTAGAAAACTGTGTAATTTAATGTTATTATTTTTATTTTGTTTCAAAACAAAACAATACCGACTGATTAATTAGAAATTAAAAACACGTGGAATTTTTTTTAATGTAGCCGTAATATTTTGTCAATGTAGAATCCAAATATGATAAAAAGTGGATTTGTATGTTTTTAAAATCCGACATTGTTCTACGATCATGACGATTTGATTTCCATCATAAGACCTTAGGGCCAGATTCAAGAACGAAACTAAGCTCGACTATAACTCCGGTATGCCAAAATCCCTCACTTTGTAATCAAGCACGCAAAACGTTCGGATAGAATATTAGATAAATAATTGTAATTTCTGAAAAAGTCATTTACGTCTAAGAATATTTTGCGTGAATTAAATTCAGTATTATTACTACCTAAAGGGTGATTGATATTCTGAAACAAGAACTATGGCTCCCGCATGTCAAAATCCATTATATTTTTGACGTACCTAATCTTACTTTTGGCATATATACCAAATTCCTTGCAAATTGGATCTACGTATATAAGTGTATTAAGATAAGATTCAGAAACGAGACTTAGGGCTAACTCCTGAAGGTACGCCAAAAATTTATTGGATTTTGACTTTTCTTATTTCTGAATATCAATCATTCTTCGATTAAAATAGGTTTTTACAGCCTAACAGTTATATTTATTTAATTTTCTATCCGAACGATTGGCGTGCTTGATTACAACGTGCGGATTGAGAATAATCTTGACGTCAATTCAGTAAATTTTTTATAATTTAATGCATCAATTTTTAGTAGAAATTATTTTAGTATTTCCTAGTTTTTTTGTTGAAGTAGTACGTAATAAAGTACGTTATGAATGCAAAACAAATTGCTGTTAATTAATGAAAATGATAGTCAACCAGCCCAAATTATTTGCATTCATTTTTTATTTGTTTCTTATTTCAGTTGGAAATACGGTAGATGTTATCAAAGGATGTGTGCCGAAGGTCCAAGTAGATTCAGTATGTCTGGGCTTAGTGGCGGTCGAGCGCGCTCGCGGACACAGCGACGCAAGATGCTACATTTGCAACGGAAACGATTGCAACTCCGCGTCACATATCAACCCCAGTATGGCTCCTTTGCTACCGCTCATACTATACTATGTACTGAGGTGAACGGGATGTATTAAAAAATAGAGTTAATACGCGCAATTAATGCGAAATTATAAGAATACGACAGGTCTATAATAGGCCATTTAATTATTAATATCAAAGTCAATATAATACACTCTGGTTACGTTGATTTTTGACTTCAATGCGTCATGGGATGGACACATTTCTGCGATCGCTTTATTCATCTTACGGTTAGATGACCAGCCTATATCCACTTGAAACGTTTCGCTGTATCCGTCTCCTGAGGCTTCGGCTTCGGCTTCTACAGAGCATTAATATTTAATATGTGAAATTGTAATACTATAACACTTATACATGAACAAACTATAGGTACCTGTTGAATGATTTGTCCTAATCTCATGTCGCTTTGTAAATAAATAAATGGCGGTCAATTTTGTTTTTTCTTTCGATTAATCCACTGTTTTATACAATCCTTTCATTTAGATCAGTGTTTCCCAACGTGGGCCCACGCCTTACAGGGGGGCAATTTGATTGTTATGGGGGGCTAATCGAAAACTTATTAAAATTATTTGTAATTTCGATTTTAGTTTTTCATTATGTTTTAAAAATTAACTTACTGTGTTTCGTTAAAAATTTCATTATACCTACCTAATTTCTCCCTAAAACCTATGATTTAAGTTTCTTAAGTGAACAATTTCAATTTTTTAATGTTAAAGATTATGTATAGGGAGGTCTAGCCATTTTAGAAAAGTTAAGGCGGTGCACGGCACAAAAAAGGTATGGAAACACTGATTTAAATTTTCCATCGTTATATGTAAGTTATGTCCATAAATACTTTCCCAATTATACATCGCCGTAAAGTAACACAACTGCTTAAAAAATTTGTAAAGAAGTTTATTGGATAAGGTTCTCTTATAAAATACAATAAATAAAAACGTTTTATACTGGTAAAATGTCTATTGTTTTATAAAAAATTATAAAAGTGCTTCCATTAATAAAGTATAGAGCACCATTCATTCAGTGAGACACGTATCCCAATACTTATTTTAAATCTATATTTTAAGCAACCAACTTCTACGGCGATACCGACTTGACTATTGAGTTTCCCTGTTTAAACTTTTTTAAAGTTTATAGATCAAGAGCCCAGGACTGCCAGACCTTCGTCATTTTATAAAAGCTGAAAGTTCTTCTGTGCGTGTCCCCTATACAGGTAAGAACGACCAGAGACTATAGAGTTTGGGTAGTGGTTACTTTGGCAGATAACAGGTAGTAAAGACTAAGCGCTCGCGCTCGGACCTACAGCGGACTTTCAATGTGTCTGGCAGGGTGTAAAAACCATTGAAACTGTCCGGCTATTGAGGTATCATATTTTCATAGGTCCCCAAGTAACATATATAAAATTTAGTTTTTATACTCTAACGAAAGTATAATTATAATTAATTAAGGTTTAGGGGTGTCTGGCAGGGGGAAGCAACTGTCATAAGTGTCCGGCAATGTATGACGATATTTATAAAGTTATCCCTAATAAAATATAAAAAAATTGAGCTTTATACTTTAAGGGATTTAAGGTACTATTTTATACACCTTTACTACCTGTTATCTGCCAAAGGAACCACTACCCAAACTCTATAGTCTCTGGTCGTTCTTACCTGTATAGGACACGCACAGAAGAACTTTCAGCTTTTATAAAATCACGAAGGTCTGGCCTAAGCAAAGAGCCCTGGGCTCTTAGGATATTATGAAATCAGCGCTACGGAAACTGAGTATATATAGAAATTTGATTTTCATGCTTTTAAAGGATTCTAATTACAGCCAATTATTGAGTCAAACATTAAAATCAGTGTTTACAGTTTTCAGATTACTGTATTGGAATACGGACCGTTAACACAACCAACAGTAAATAGACTAGATAAACAAATAGTCTTTTGTTTGAGTATTACGTTTAGATTAATTTATTTTATGTTACCCTGGTACATCAATGGCAGGGGATGACAATAAAATTGTTCTTAAAATCGATTAAACTGCTTAAAACGCATACATTTAAATCAATGTAAAAAATAGATTTTTTTTTAATATACTAAACCGGTAACAATGCGAAGTTGAACTTGAGTTGCGTAAAATGGTTATGTAAAAACTGATCCGACTTAATACTTTGTATAAATATTTAAAGCGAAGGGCTAATAACGAGTTTTGAGTTTGATAAACGACTTATGCCTAAAGTAAAACCTAAATTCCATTCAGGGTTAATCACAGATTAGTATAGTTATAGACATTACTTTTAACAACTAGTGATATGATAAGAGAATGTGTTTCCATGAGATTCAAACTTTGTACAAAAAATTATCATTCACGATACTTAATATATTAAATCAATGTGTATATGTTATGTAAAATTGTTAAAATCCTATTTTAAAAGAAATACTTTTCTCATTTTGTACGAGTATCACATTATCGCCAAGGCACTCGTTCAAAGTGCCAAATCTGCCCATTGTCATTAAGACATTTCTTAGCTGTCAATGGGTCATTCACCCCATCCTTACTGTCACTTATCAGCTGAGTCAAACATAACCCATCGGGGGTCTTTAAACGCGGCCCTTTCTGATTCCATATCTGTTTCTTGCTGTCGTTGCAGCTTTTCCAGACGGCTCTACCGTTACCCTGCTGTAGGCACAACCCTTCGTCTGCCATTATTCTACCCTCCATTGTATAAACCAGAAGTCGTTCTAAGTCAAGGTCACTCCCACAGCTCACCCCAGACGCTGGCCCACCAAGTCCAGGCGTCCCAGAAGCCACCCCTAAACAACTGCCTTTCTCACTGCGTATTCTCCCAAACCACCGATCGTGAGCAGGGAAAAAGTGTTGAGGCCACACATTCTCCAAATACCATTTGAAACTTTTACAATTCAAATTCTTTCTAAGCTCTATTCGAGACGCCACACTCTGCTGATCGCGTATCGCGGCAATAGATGGGTTGAATTTGAAGAAAAACTCCGCCCATTCGTCCATCCAGACAGTCGCAGCTCGCGCGAGATTCGAGTTTAATACCTTAGCGACCCCACCAGGGTACTTATATGGGCTGTGCCGTCGAAATATGTGTCCTACGCGAGAGCATGGCGTTATTTCAACTCTAGCCCCACATTGCCAGGCACGCCAGGAAAGTTCAAGGTTTTCTGCCCCCCAAATGACCATGTCTTCATCGTAACCCCCTAGTCGCCAGAATAGGCTTTTTCGCACTGCGAACAACCCGCCAGCCATGGCCGGGGTGGGGTAAGGTCTTGAGGGGTTTTCTGTTTTGGACAGCATGACTTCAGGGCTGGGCATTAACCAGCGGAAGTGAAGTCGCCAGCTAAAAGCGCCCCAATGGGCGTCTATACTCTTTGTGTAGGCGAGCGTGTCATCTGACAAAAGGTCTATGTGAGGACAAATGAATACGTCGTCGCTTCCTGCGCGATCTAACAACGGTTCGAGCCAACCTTTCGTCACCTAAAATTTATAATGAATTTCATACAATCATGTAGAAAAAGATAGTAACTGTGGATAGGTACAATAGTTGATACAACCTGATTATCTTAGAAAATTTTAAATACATAAGAAATTGTTAAGCTTTGTCATCACTTCCATATACTATACAAAACAAATTCCAATTTTGTTTTCTAATTATATTTAATGCAGCCGACTGATTACAATCAAATCAATATTTGCCTATTGAGACAAAATTAAACAAAAGATCTATCGAGCTTTATTAGTAAACAAGCATAATTGCAAAGTAGAAAATGATAATTACCTCACAGTGTGCATCTAAGAATACAAGAACATTCCCTGTTGCTGCACGAGCACCCATAAGTCTTGCTCCAACCAGCCCGGTTCTATTTGCACTTCGTAGTATTTGTACTTTATTTAAACTAGCTACAGCATCATCCAATTCCTTAGCTAAGTATTTCCTCTCGCTAGCATCATCAACTAATATTACCTAAAAAAGTAATTTTAGAAATGCATTATACGCAACGCATATTATAATCTTGTATAATATTATAAAATGCTTGAATTGATTACATTTCTTATTGGGCTATTTGTGCCATTGTATTAAAATTAAACCCAATACTTGCAACTATGTAATACCAACCGACGCCAGAGTTAGAAATTCCGTACAAAGTAATACTCATACTAATTATCTCTTATCATATATTACTAATTAAACTAAAATTTTTACCTATTTTATACAAAATTTTCTGTAGTATAAATAGGTTTTGTACATACTTGTTTTAATAATTCATCAGGTGATCGTAAAATCACAGACATCACAGTTCTTATAAGTGTAGACCAAGCTTCATTATGGAAGACTATTATAACAGTAGCAGTTGGAAGATTTTCTAAATTATATTGTACATTCCTGCAACTAGAAAACATTTGCAGCATGAATGTTTCAGACTGCAAAACCAAACTGATGTTCATATTAAAGTACACTAAGAAATTCTGAAGCCTAATAATTTTTAGTATCATCGTAAGTGTGTCAAGTGCGGAGATTTTTTTTTGTATCCTGAGTCACTGGTTCAGAAACTGTCTTTCCAATTGTTAAGATAGTGTAGCTAACCTCATGCATTAAAATTTTAGATATATAGCTTAATTAATAATGCTTATTACATTAGTTTGATATTTAAATTTGAATATTTGTTTGTAAAAGAAAAAAAAATAACTGAACTAATTTTAATTTTTTCACAATACCTGTCACTTCTCATGTCTGGCAAACTTCGATTTATAGATATTCTATCACTAACTAGTATATTATATGAGTGTAAGGGATAAAGTTCTCTGGCAGTGATAATTTCTCTTTGTAAAAGCTGTACAGGCCGACCACCCTCTCCTGCACCCAATATTGGGGCATAGTTGTTAGTATTTATTATTTCTAAAACAAATATTTATTATAATTAATAAGATTTTCTTTCCTTAAGACTTCACATATTTATACTTATGCATTTTTATCAGACATTCTTAAGGCATGTATAATGTTAAAAATCACAGAAAACATGTTAATTCCATGTGCATACTAACCTTCAGTTAGATTTCCTCCTGAATTTCCACCAACATAATGACCAATAACTACTCTCATTCCTGTGTTATCTACATAAGAATCTTGATCAAATTGTATTCTGAAATAATAATAAATACATAAACAATATATATAAATCTGGATATTTAAAAACATGTAGTTTGTGCCCAGACTCCAATATTCATTCTTCTGATTATTTATTATATCAAATATTATTCAATACCTCTACTTTTATAGAAGTGAAAAAATGTTGATAGTATTACCACAACATTATTAAACATTACATAAGTAATGTAAAAAAAGTAATAATAATAATATCATGTGCAGAAATATGACTAGAATTATGCAATTAGACATTGTCTTACCTTTCATACCAGGGTTTTATGTTTCTTTTCTGAACAGTATTATAAAGTAATAAACTAACATAAAACATAGCATTTACTAATAATATTAAAACGATCGTAAGACTAGTAATTTTTCTTCTTCTACCTCTACAAAAATAGCTCCAAAACTGCTGAAATCAAATAAAGGTTTTTATTTTACAAATAGTCAGAGACATACCTACTTTGCAATTTCAACAAAAATTATACGCACATTTCTTAAAAACATTTGCCTATTCTGCGTGGGCGATATCCCTAACAAAACACTGGGAAAGAAAGTAATATTTACTTCAACTTCAAATATTTCTTAGATCATAATAAAATGTAAACTGTAAAGGAACATAGCAAAACTTTAGCTTAATTAATTTTCTACTCATAAAAGGCTGATTACCACTTGTAATAATTATGGTAAGGAATAAGTATTTAACTTTAAAGAACTGAAATTTATTGTTTTATGTGAAAACGAATAGAATATTATAACTTTTATTTCATTTTTATTTTGTCGATTAATGCCGCAACTTGCAACTTGCAAGGGATTAGTGATCATATACACAGATCAAGGAGAGGTAAAATCTTGACAGTCAAAGTCTCCAAATGTTTCGAATTGTCAAAGATTAAAGCAAACAGAGGGCTTGAAAGACTTTGTTGGATGCTTCTATCTGAGGGGACATAGTAATAGGTGAATATTTCCTAGTAGTAATAGTGGAGTTTTGGAGGTGGGGGGCTATTTTAAAACACTGACTTTGTGATTAATATAATATATATTACAAACAGTTGGCAACACTGATTCGCATTGAGCTGTCAGCTGTGAGCATTTGTTGTTGTGTCCTGCCCACGTCCGTGTGCCGTTTGGTTACGCCTTAACATTTCACTAAATCTGTGCAACCTCAGAAATCAGAATCCAGATTACTTATTACTGAATCATGTGAATAATAAAGGAAAATTCACGCAATCAAAAAGTGTGTCCATATTGTGTATTGGGTTTTGCTCAATTGTTAATATCAAAAATGTCTAATTCTCGTGGAAATAGAAGTTGGTATAGTCCTGGTGCCAGAAGTTTTCAAGGCAATAGAGGGCGAAATACAAGAAGTCGACCACCTGGTTTGAAAGGCAAAGAAATTGGTCTCTATTATAAAAACCTATATAAAAAAAATAAAAAAACGGACACAGTGGTAAGTGCAAAATTATAATCTGGCATTAATCTTTAAATTAAGTACATTAAATAATATTTTATTATAATTATTTTCTTTTAGATTAATCTCACAGTTCCGTCTGCCATCATATCTGCTATAAATAAAAACTTAATGTTCATAGAAACTGTTGCTAAAACTGAAAATATAGAATTGTCTTTCACAAATATATTTGAATCTCTTATAAAACCAAAAACTGACTTAATTAAGAGAAAAGAAAGTCCTCATCCCGAAGAATATGATGTTGCTGATAAGAAAGACAACAAAGGTACTAATATTTCCCTTAAAAACGTTTTGGTACCTAATTTCGAGACTGATACATATTTGAATGAGAATGAAAAGATCTTACTTAATATAAAAGATGAGACCCATAATGAGGTTAGGGATGAACCCAGTTCATTAAGTATGCCAAATAATATACCTTTTAAAAGTGAACCCAATTCACTAAGTACACTGAATGATATACCTATTAAAACTGAACCGAGTTCAGTAAGTATGCCAGATTGCTTACCTTTTAAAAATGAAAATATAATGAATGATTGCGTAAACTCTGAAAGGATACTAGGTTTAAGAGAAAGACATTATAAATATGGGTATGAAGACATAATTACTGGAACATTTGATGAGAAATTAACAGAAGTTTTAACACAAGGTATTCAAATAGCTTCTTACAATAATGGTGTTAGAAAATTAAACCATGATTACTATAAGGAGTACAATGAAATGGTAGGAAAGTTGCCTTATAATAAAATGTTACAATTTCGTGAAACCTTACCTGCTTATAAGAAAAAAGAAGATATATTAGACAATATTGATAAAAGTCAAGTACTAGTGATAAGTGGTGAAACTGGCTGTGGAAAATCTACACAGGTGAATATTATAGAAATTATTGTATTAGAGCTATACACTTTAACTCATAAATATAAGTTGGTTCTCTGGTTAGTCAGTCATCAAACTTCAACCAAGTTGTCAAAGGTTAACATTTAACTGTGATTTTTCATAGTTTTAAGTGTAATCCTCGTACTTACCTGGAAAAACATTACAATCAGATAGCACCATGTGCAATAAAAAAGTTTAGGATTTATCATTTTTAAATTAAATTTGCAAAAAACTAACCTATATGTATTTCATGAGAACTTAGTGTTAATATACTTTAAAACTATTGTTTTTGTTCAGATTCCTCAACTTATTTTAGACAGAGCTATGAATAATAATACAGGGGCTAATGTAAGAATACTTGTCACTCAGCCAAGAAGAATTGCGGCATCTTCATTAGCTATGAGAGTTGCTAAAGAAAGAGCTGAAATGCTTGGAAATTCTGTAGGATATAGTGTCCGATTAGAAAAGTTAGTATTATGTGTGTATGTGTAGTTGAGAAGGACTTATACACCATATCATACACAGTTTTTTGGGTTTCACAGAAATTATCGAAATCTAATTGAGACCAATTATTGTTAATTACAGTAAATCACAAAAACTTATTAATTAAATAATATTGCAATAAGCTTAAATATATTAAAAAGTAATCATTTCTCTGTACCAGGGTAGAATCAAGAACTCGTGGTAGTATTATGTTCTGCACCACTGGAGTGCTATTAACTGAACTTGAGGTTGATCAAGCATTGACAAAATTTAGTCATATAATACTGGATGAGGTGCATGAACGGGATACTCATGTAGATTTGGCTATGGCTATGCTGAAACAGGTATATAATTAATTTTACAAATCTAGACTAATTTTTGTCTCTTTCTGTTAAATTGTTTGCTGTGATATAAGTGTAAGAGATAGCTGGCCGATGACAGCAGGGTGACTGACACTTAATAGTTTTCTCAAACCCCTCTCTTGAAGGAAACCAAATTGAATTGCGTAGTTTAGTCCCGTATTCTAAAACATTATTATAAGTTTCGATCTAACTTAAAAGATAGGATAACTAACATCTCAATTTATACCCGCAATATTATTTTATTGGAAAATATTTGTTTATGTCTGATAGTCACAATTCTATCAGATGGCGCTGTGTTGAAAGTACCAACGTTTCACATAAGCTACAATTTAATGGCATAACCACCAATAAAGCATGGTGGTCCCCATGACTGGTGTTCTCCTACCGTTTCCCTTGAATAGTTTACTACTATGTAATATAACCACACACCACAGCAACGCTTGGCCGGTCTGCTAGTAATTTATATCTCTCGCTTTTAAGATCACTTAGGATTTTGTTATTTAGCAATAGTTATTAAGTATAAAGCATGCTGTTTTTACCTGTTAAAGGGTGTACAATTTTTGTATGTTCTTGTGTAAGCTTATATTGTAATAGGGAGCGTTCAAGTATTACGTAACGAATTTGTCTGGGGGGGGTCCTTTTATAAAACGTTACGATACGGGGCGGGGATTGAATTACGCGTTATTGTTAATATTAACTTTCCAGTACTTTACACCACATAATGGTAACTTTTAGACATAAAAAGCCTCTAGGTGGTCACGAAACGTTTTACCATACTTTGGTACAGAAAAACGTTACGGCGCGTTACATGGGGGGGGGGTCAATAATCTCCAAAAATTGCGTGACGTAATACTTGAACGCTCCCATACCAGTTGGCAAATGTTTTGATGTGAAACATCTATAGCCGCACGTAAAACCGATTTCTATCGTGGTTTTAAATAAATGAAGCATTTTATATTTTTGCTGACAGATAACATGATTTTCAGTGAAGAATATGAGATTTATTTTACAATGTCAATTTTTTTAATAAAAAAAAAATGTATTTCATAGTACAATTTAAAATTCCAGATACTAAAAAAACGAAAAGATCTAAAACTCGTACTTATGAGTGCTACGTTAGATGCAGAAGTATTGTCAGCGTATTTTGACGATTGTCCCGTAGTGTGCATAGAAGGGCTTGCTTATCCCGTCACAGATGTTTATCTAGAAGATATCCTGAAGCTAACTAACTACCAGATACAGAAGGAAAAGGTAAAGAAAAATAAAGAGCAGAAGTGGAAACAATATGTAAAGAAGGGTAAAAGTGAGGCGAATGAAATGCAAAAGGATATTCAATATAAGGCTGAAATTGGTAAGTTGACGAAATACAAATAATCCATTTATGTTTCGGACAGGAGACTATAATTTTTTTTTTAAAGACAATTCACACCAATTGACCTAGTCCCATGCTAAGCTGGTGAAGCTTGTGTTATGGGTACTAGGCAACGGATATACATACATATTATAGATAGATAAACATATAAATACATATTTAAACACCCAAGACCTAAGCACAACACCCAATGATCATTACATCGATGTTCGTCTCAGCCGTGGATCGAATCCGGGACCCATGGATTCGCAGTCAGGGGTACTAACCCCTAGACCAATGAGTCGTCCTGGATTTAAATACTAAAAGTGCAGGACAAGAACAAAAGCTATCAGATATTTCTTAATTAAATGCCTGTCTACACAGTACTAAAATCAGATTAACGCAAACCTGTTAAAAATGTAAATGAGTTTAAAATTGTTGTAATAAGTAATTCCTTATTTCTTTATAAGGTAATAATAAATATGTTCATCACAAAATATAATAACTTAATGGGAAATCATGTTAAAAATAAAACATCATTTAAACAAAAAAAACATCTTTTTAATTTGTAACTTAGATTTCGCGTTTCTCGTCGAATCACAGATCCGCGGCCCTTTTGACCAAATTACTATATTAGATTTAGAAACACGCACAACATTGTTACAAGCGATGACCAAAATGTAACAATTTCACAGACAGTAAGGAAATAAAACTTTAACTTCAAATATATGAGCCTCCTGTAACATAAACAAAAAAACACTATTACGAGATGTCGCTACGTATACCAACAATTAAAAAAAAAACCCTTTTCCCATTCGGTTCGTTTCAAGTTTGCTCCTCAGCATAATTGTGTTGGCTCAGAATTATGCTGAGGAGCAGAATGTTCCATAGCGCTGGTCATTCTGCCAGAGACCACAGCAGATAGTTTTAGTTAGTTATTTACGCATTGTTTCGTCTTCCGTTA